AATGCCTATCCCATTCCCCTTATATCCGAATTGTTTGATAACAAAACCCCACCACAACCCAAAAGCATGGTCTATGATCCAAAAGGACCAGTGACCAGAAATCAGCTATGGACTGTAGTTTTGACCTTGTGGTCTTCAGAATGGACTTCAGAATGACGCTGAAGTCCATGGGTGTCACGTATTCATCTGCACATAAAAATGTGGTTAATGGCATTTACCGTCCTAAGATCTTTACCAGACTTGGGGTGCTAAGATCTTTACCAAACTTGGCCTTAGGAGTGCATACAATTTGGTGAGGATTAGGGAGGATCACGACTGGAAGACGGCATTTAACACTAGGAGTGGGCACTATGAATACCCTGTCATGCCCTTTGGATAATGCAATGCTCCGGCCGTGTTTCAGGATTTTATCAACAATGTACTCAGGGACTATATCTATTCATTTGTTCTAGTTTACCTAGATAATATCATTATTTATTCTCCAGACTCATCATGAACATGTTAAACAAGTATTACAAACATTGCTTGATAATGGACTTTATTGTAAACTTGAGAAATGCATATTTGATCAACATGAGGTTCAGTTTTTGGGGTATAATATTTCTGCCTCTGGTTTCCAAAAAGATCCTTGCAAACTAGAGGCCGTTCTTCACTGGCCGTTACCCAATGGGTTAAAAGCCATCCAAAGGTTTATTGTTTTCTCTAACTATTATAGGAGATTCATCAAAGGTTTCTCTTCGGTAATAGCCCCCATCACCAATATGACACGCAAAGGGGCTAATTGTACTATATGGCTTAAAGAAGCTAAAGAGGCTTTTGAGCTTATTAAACAAATGTTCGCATCTGCTGACATATTAAGACATCCTGACACTAGTAAATATTTTCTACTTGAGGTTGACGCCTCTGAGACAGGGGCCGGGGCTGTTCTTTCTCAGAGAGAGAGTCAGGATGCCCCTTTGCATCCTTGTGGTTACTGCTCCAGAAAGTTGTCTCCTGCCGAGCGTAACTATGACATTGGTAATAGAGAACTGTTAGCCATCATACCAGCGCTTAAGGAATGGCAACATCTTTTGGAGGTTTCCAAGGATCCCATTCTGATTATTACTGATCACAAGAACCTGGAATGTATTGGGGATTTCAAATGACTGTCTTCTAGATAAGCTAGATGGTCATTATTTTTGTCTTGCTTTAACTTCATTATCACCTACAGACCCGGTTCTAATAACGTTAAAACTGACGCCTTGTCTAGGCAATTTGACGTTGAATCGGATCTAGAACAAGAGACATCCCCTATTATTTCTCCTGAGTGTATTATTGCATCCACTGTCCTTTCTTTATCGTTCCCTTTGCTCCGTGCTATCATGGCGGCTCAGCCCCAGGCACCTTGCAACAAACCTCAAGATAAATTGTTTATTCCATTGTCTGACAGGAAAGAGGTGCTGAAGGTATTCCATGACAATGTGACCACTGGGCATCCGGGTATTAATAAAACAGTATCTGCCATTTCCAAGTCATTTTGGTGGGTGTCACTCAGGAGGGATATTAAAGATTATGTAGATGCCTGCTCTGTCTGTGCAGTTTTTAAGGTTCCTAATAAACTTCAGTGTGGATTGTTACAGCCACTTTGAAATACCCAGTATCCCATGATCTCATTTAACGATGGATTTCATTGTTGAACTGCATAGTTCCAATGGGTATGCTACCATCCTCACGGTAATTGACTGTTTTTTCCAAAATGGCACACTTTACTCCACATAAAAAATTGCCATCGTCTCAGGACCTGGTACACATATTTATACGCGATATTGTCAGGCTACATGGTATTCCTCAAAATATTGTGTCTGACAGGGGTTCTCAATTTGTGTCACGGTTCAATAAACAGTTGGGCATTGAATTGTCATTTTCCTCTGCTTACCATCCCCAAACTAATGGTAAGACTGAAAGAGCTAACCAATCACTTGAGCTGTATTTATGTTGCTTCGTGAATAGTACACAGTCTAACTGGGCTGAATTATTGCCCTGGGCCGAATTTGCAAGGAATAATGCTACCGATGACTCATCTGGGCATAGTCTGTTTTTTATCAATAAGGGTCTTCATCCTGCTGTACTCCCTGCTGTATTTTCTGATACAGCTATCCCTACTCTGGATGATCACCTTACCTCTATTCGTGATACCTGGACTAAGGTTCACACCGCTCTTGAAACTGCGGCTGCTCGCATTAAGTTTCATACGGATAAACAGCGGAGTGCCAATTACCTGGTGGGTGATAGGGTTTGGTTGTCCACACGCAACATCATGTTGAAGGTTCCCAGCATGGAGTTTGCTCCCAGGTTCCTTGGTCCTTTTTTGTGTGGTTAGGAGAATCAACCCTGTTTCTTATTCTCTGGCCCTTCCAGCGTCCTTACATATACCTAATACTTTTCATGTGTCCTTGCTCAAACCGCTTGTTCCCCCTCCTCCTTTGGTTGTTTCTGGACAGGAAGAGTACAAAGTCTCCTCCATCATTGATTCCAGGTTTTCTCGTGATTCCTTACAGTATTTAGTTGATTGGAGGGGGTATGGGCCTCCTGGTCGTTCTTGGGTTTCGGCTTCTGATATCCATGCTGGCCGTAAAATTTCTTCTTTTAATGTCAATTTTCCTCTCAAACCTGGTCCTGCCCGCCCAGTGGGTGGTCTTCAGGTGGGGGTTAATGTCACGTATTCATCTGCACATAATAATGTGGTTAATGGCATTTACCATCCTGACAGGAAAAGTTGTTCCGAGAAGCATTACCATACTGACAGGAAAAGTTGTGCTGAGCAGCAATCATGCACATGGAAACCTGATAATTGCTTTTTGGGTCAAAGACCAGTTACGGCCAATCGGATCCACAGGAAGGGTATTTAAACCCAATTCTCCTTTTGCTCATTGCCCTGTCTTGGTTTCATCCTGATGGTAATCTGAGATTGCGTTCCTGATCTTGATTTTCTGGTATCTGACTTTGGCTTCGTTTTGACTTCCCTGAATTCTGGTATCCTTGACTTTTGCCTTTCCCTCATTGTTGTGTCTGATTCTGTGTTCGTGACCTTGGCAAGTATTTTGTGTGTCTTTAATTTTTTTCTTGGATACATTAAGTCCGGTCATTCTAAGGTCTGGTTATACGTTATCCTTAGTCCTAGGTGTGACATAGTTCCGCATGCTGGATCAACTTGTAATCCTGACAATGGGTAGATATATCTCCAACATCACAGTCATTATCCTGGTTTATGGGTGTTACATTACATGTAACAACCAATCTCAACTGACATCTACTCCTTGCTCCCTCCCAGGGGTGTACCTAGCATTTGGCACCCGGGGTGGATCCTGTGTTTGCCCCCCCTTCCTCCTCCCCACGTTAAAGTGTAAAAAAACACCTATAATATTTTTAATGTTTAATGTTTTCATTTTTAAAAATTGCGCAAATGTGTACATTTTGAAAAAAAACCTTTCCTGCCCCCTTCTACAAAACCCCTTTTCTGCCCACCATTCTACAAAATGCATGTCCGGCCCCCATTCTATAAAACCCCTTTCACAAATCCCCTGCTCAGCCCACCTTAAACAAAATCCCTATCCCCCTTCCATAAACCCCTAAACCCCCTTCCAAAAAACTCCTGCACCCTTTCTTCCCACAAAATCCTGCCTCTCCCTCTAAAGCCCTTGCTCAGCCTCTTACAATAGAATTCCTTTTTTACACAACAATATTAGCAACAGTCTTCAGAGTCCAGTCCCAGGCACAAAGTCACTCTCACACAGCCACACACACAGTTACAGGCAGACATTCACACACAGTTACAGGCAGACAGTCACACAAACAGTCACATACAGTCACACATACAATTAGAGACAGATAGTCACACACATCCACACACAAAAAGTTACAGGCAGCATCCTCCAATCACAGGCAGACAGTCACACATACATAGTCACATGCAGATAGTCACACTCACACTCACATACACACTGTCACACACACAGTCACAAGCAGACAGTCAAACACAGAGTCACAGGTAGGCAGTCACTCACACACACACACACACACACACACATACAGTTACAGGCAGGCAGGCAGTCTCACACAAACTCACAGGCAAACTGACACATACAGACAGTCACAGGCAGACAGTCACACACATAGTTACAGGCAGACAGTCACACACACAGTTATAGGCAGGCAGTCACACACACACACACAGTCACAGGAAGACAGTCACACACACACACACACACACACAGTTACAGGTAAATCTTCTAAAAGAGTAAACGCAGGCAACACTCCAGTAGTAAGGATGGCATTTTTATTAACAGGTGAACAACCCCACAGAAAGTGTGATGTTTCGGCTCAGTTAATCATACAGTTACAGGCAGGCAGTCACAGGCAGTCACACACACAGTCACAGGCAGTCACATACACAGTCACACACATACAAACACACACGCAGACAATCTCACACAGAGTCACAGGCAGTCACACACACACACACACGGAGACAGTCACATACACAAACAGTCAAAGGCAGTCACACACACACAAACTCACAGGCAGACAGTCACACACAGTCACAGGCAGTCACACACAGACAGGCAGTCTCACACACACTCTCTCTAACTTACAAACAGTATAGCTCCTGGAGTATGTAAGTTGTGTAGCAGTAACAGCAGCAGGTGGAGGCTGTGTTTAGCTCCGCCCCCGCTGCTGTATTGTCTCTGCCACACTGCCGATTAGCCCCTCCCCCATTTTTCATAGATGTGGGCGGTTTTTAAGTTCTGTGCAAGAATATCGGGGGAACTGACACGTGCAAGCTGGAACATGGTCATTTTCATTTGTGATTCGTAGTGCTGTTCCTGGCACAAGAAAAAGGGTGATGGAAGGCAAAAGATGCTGCTTTTTGGTGGGGAGAAATAAGCAGCTTAGTTTGCTATGATGGACAAGACATCAGCAGAAAAAAAAGATGGTTAACCGACTGACCAATAGAGGAGGGAAAAAAGGAAAAGCAGTAAAACAATTTATACTTTCAAGCAGGATTTTCCAAGACATTTTGACTGCAGCTGCTGAGGGAAACAGTCCAGCTGTTATGCCCCTGCACAGACTCACACTTGCTCCACACTGCTGCCTCAGCAGTCAGATGCCCTGGCGTGCAGTGATGGTGGGGAAGCTGTTTATCCTCTACCCATTGGCTCCAAGTCTTTGGCATAGAGCTTCCACACTGTGACTCTGGATGAAGACTGCAGGAGCAGCACTGGGACTTCCTACTATAAGTGTGCTGGTGTCAATGCTGCCTCGTGATTAATTGACCACCAACAGCAACTGTCTACTGGGCTGAACACGGGAAAGAAAAGGGGAGAAGATAATGTGCTGGAGAGTGTGGCTTATAACTGCCACCCTATTTAAACCACATTTTACACCAAGCTCATTGCTTTTTTGTAAGTGTTCCTACACTTGTACTTAGTGTTATTATACTGCTGTATTTACTGGACTTCCTGGCACTCTGGCCTGCATCTATCTTATGAACATATAACTGCCCTGATCTTTACCGCTTGGACTGTATGATTCTGTCTCCTGAATTACTCTTATATGATTTGTTTGCATCAGAAGTAATACTACATTTCACACTTACTATTCCTGTTTGAGGGAGACAGCCTGGGTCATTGATTCTAGTGTGAGACTTGGATTAGCTTGCTGCTGTATCTAGCTACTGCCAGGAAAACTTAAAACAACAGTCAGTGAGCAAAAAAGAATTTGCATTTTTTGTCACTCACCTAGTGTGAGATTAGGTTAACAATATACAATTGCTAAAAGTTTTACTGCCTCCCTACACAATCTTGTAATCACCAATTTAAAATTGCTATTTTGTTTAAACTGTTTGTGGAAGGAAAATCTTTTTTGAGGCAGTGTGTTGTTCAAAAGAAGAAAAAAAAGTATATTGCCTAACTATTAACACATTCGCTGCTTCATACATCTTAATGTGACACTGTTGCTTATGTGTAGTGCAGTGTTACCACTGCCACTTGCACCAATAATTAACAGTTATTAAAAAATGTTTGTGTTTTTTTTTGACTGTTTGTATAAATAAGATCCCTTTTGGGGGAGTGTGTTGTTCATTTAAAAATAAAAAATAAGTCCTCTTGTCTAGCTGCTCCCACAAGGCACTCACGCAAACTTTGAGTGGTAGATGTAGTCTGCTTCATTCATTCTGGTGACACACTGTTGTTTACAGTTTATGCATGGTTACACTGCTAGCCACTGCCACCTAAGACCAACTTACAGTTTGACTGAGTGCGTTAAGCTAAGTGTATGCTGTGCAAGTATGTGAGTCTTTTTTTTAAGATGACACTCCACTGCGCAATTATACATATTGATGTTTTCTTTTTATTTGCAAGCCCTGTTATTATTTTGGTAGGCCCATGGTTTTTTCTCTTTTTGGAGAGTTTGCCTCCCTATTTGCTCTTGTTTGTTCAATCTGGTATTAATATAACCCTTTGTTCTAGTTGTTCTGTGTTATTGCTCCACAATGAGACATGTCAGAAATATATTTTTCCCAAATCGTTTCTATTATTATGGCATATTTACTGTAAAGGCACATAATGTTAGTGTGATATCTCTTTAAACAAAAAAATCCTCATTCCACATATGCTATGCTTTATCAACTGTGAACAAATGTCGGCTTCTGAATTATTTTATGTATTACATATGTGTGGATTGAGCAATAAATAAAATTTTGACAAAATAAAATAAATGAAAAAAAGAGGACACACTCTTAACACATAAACCATTTTATCAACCTCAAGTGATTTAGTGGTATAAAGTGTCCCTTTAAAGTCCATCACAATGTTACAGTAGTAAATCCACCAAGCACCAACCCATTTGGCACATCACCTGCACAATACCAAATATGGTGGTGGTAGCATGTTTTTAATTAATGAAAACACGGTCCTGAGTGCTCAGGAACTTAGACAGGCCAAAGGTTCAGCTTTCAAAAGGACAGTGATCCTAAGCACACAGCCAACACAGCTCTGTGAATATCCTTAAGTGGACCTGCCAGAGTCCAAACATGAACCCATTCAAACATCTTTGGTGAAACCTGCAGATGGTTATGCACCAACGGTCCCCATCCAACTGACTAAGAGCTTGAGAGGATCTGCATAGACGAAAGAAGAAACTACTCAAACCCAGTTGTGCAAAGTTTGTTGCAGCACAGCTCAAAAGATTGGAGGTTGTAATCGCTGCCAAATATGCTTCAAAAAGGTACTGAGTTAAGGGTCTGACTGCTTATGTGAATGTTATTTTTCATGTTTTTCTATTTGATATATTTCCAGTTGTGTAATAATGTTTGCTTTGCCATTATTGGACATGGACTGTAGATTGGTATAGAAAAGGTAATCATTTAAACGATTGTAACATAAGACTATAACACTAATGTATGCCAATTTTTATTGTTCTAAATTAATATAATGCATTTTCAAGTTTTTGGATAAATATAAAATAATAATTTGCTCATAATTGTGCAATACTCAAATGTAAAACTTATTATCATAACATAGAAATATGAGAAAAATTAAGGGGTCTGAATACTTTCTGAGTGCACAGTAAATTGCATGTTTAGATATTTTCCAGAATCTTGCAATTCAATTAGTGCTTGGACGAACGAGGTTACTAAATCATGTGCAATATTGCAAAGATATTGCATAAAATGTAGAAATACAGAGAAGGTTTTTCACAATGTCCCATCCCTTATTATATGTTTTTAAGATTTTTTTACTAACAATGTTCCCTCATAGGGATTTAAACATTAATTATTATCAATTTATATTATTTGACAGGTTTTTTTTTCCTTTTTCTGCATTCCTTATTATATGTTTTAATTTTTTTAAATTTGTTTTGTTGATGAGATTACAGTTTTCATCAAGTATTACGTAAAACAAGACAAAAAGGAGACTACGTTGTAACAAACATTTACACATATATATTTGATATTACTTACAAAACATTAGATTAGTATATAGTTTCATGCGGTGTGATCTAGTTTAACCTAAGTCTGGGGATTTAGAGAGGAACAAATAGTATATTTTCCATATTTTGTATATTTTCTCAATGTCAGGGAAAGGATATTAGCCATATGTTCCATAAAGAATAAAATTTATCCAAGGTATGATAATTCATGTAAAACCCTTTTTCCATCATATATTGGTAGTTCACTTGATTTACCACTTCAGGCCAGGAGATTGTTTCTGTGTGTTTCCATTTCCTTGCAATAAGTATTTTCATAGCTAAGAATATTTAAATAATTAGATATCTATTTTTCATAGTTGTTGAATTTAATTCTAAATGCAAAAGTGCTTTCATATGAGATGGGATTAAGATTATTTTAAATTTATCAGAAATATAATTAAAAATCTTATTCCAGGTATCCATCTGTACAGTGTCACCAAACAGGGCCGGATTAACATAGGGGCTGATGGAGCTGCAGCTACAGGCCCATGCCAACGAAATAGGCCCATTGATAAAGAAAAAAATAAATAACAAAATAATAATAATAAAAATAAAATTAATTAATAAAAAATAAATATATATATATATATATATATATATATATATATTTACTACTCTTCATATGTAGGGAAACAAAACTTGTGTGGACTGGCTGACAATAAAATTAGTTAAGGTAAAGCCAACTTTGCATACTATGCAAAAGCTCTTGCTACTTCAGTCTAAAACATACACATTTTCTCTGTCCCAGACTGTGTAAAAGGAGCTTCTGCCTGCTAGTAAGGGTAAGGAGAGGAGTGGACAAGTGGGTGCTAGGAGACAGTCCTTAGAAAGCGTGGAGCGAACACATCATTAGACACATTTATGCCAAGCTCAGGGTGCTGTCTGCATAGTATGCCCTTAGTTGGCCAGCCTGCATGATTGGCAGGCAGCCTGTCCTAACATGTATTCATGCCAGGCTGACCTTCTAAATCCTCGGGCACATTCTTTTGGGCATGTTTGCCCCTCTGGGCAGTTTTGGTTACGTGATTCGCGTCAGTGGAACACCCTTTTACCCCGCCCACCAAAATCCTGCTTCACTAGATACTGCTGTTAGGAGGTATGGATTTACTTGAAAGATGAATGCGAGACATTAGCATAGGGTATGTGTGTGACGAGAGCAATCTCGCCACATTGCATTGGAGGAGCCTGGTTGCCCGCCTGCTCCCTTTAGACTATGGACCGGACTTTTAAAATACTTTATTTTCCCTGCAGAAAGGCTTATTCATAACAAAATACCGAAAGCGCGACCACCGGGAAGCTGGTGTGTGCCTTCAATTCACCTCCCTGAAGCTAGCGTGTGGCGTTAATTGACCACCCAGTAGCAGCTTAATTGACTGTTACTGGGTGGCTGCGGCTACACTTAGCGGCCGCTAGGTGGTGGTGTTATGGAGCTCCCCGGACGGCCAGCGGTGTTCAGCCCGGAATCAGTGCACTAAAAGCGGACACTTTTATGTGCAGGCACCGCTGAGCCTCCAGCCTTCTCTGCTTCTATTCGTGGCTGTTTAGCCGAACGCTGACTTGATCGGGACTTTACTTCAGTGAATGTTTTAACCCAGATAGCTATGCCATGGAGCCTATTCATGTAATTAAAGACTTTGGCTCCATGGCAATTGAACTGTGTGTATAGGATCTGAGCGCGATTCTGTAGTTATGTGCGCTCAGATCCCAGCTATCTGGATGGATTTTATGTATTAAATGTTACACTGTATGTTTTAATGTATTTTACTGTCTTTGTGTCCCCACGTGTATAATTGCGTTTTGCCTCTGTCCTGGGAGATCTCCAGGATAGAGGGAGGGAAATTAGGATGCATTGTGGGGATGTTTTACTTCTGTGTGTCTGAATGTGATACATGTCTGTCTGTGTTACAGTCTTCCATCTGGTCCCCTAGGGAGTGTCCACCAGGTGGGAGACCTGCATAAATACTGGGCAGGTAGCCCTCAATAAACCAGACCACTGCTTGACCCCCAACACGGAGCTCTGTCTCGTCTTTGGGGGGATTTACTTTATGCTGTTAGAGACTGATTGCCAGGAGTGTAAGGCGCTTGGGTGCTTTTCCTGTTTGTTTGATAGCAGCTATTCATGAGGGTTCCAGTTCGAGAGTTTGGAGTGCTACCTTGTATCCAATTCGGGAGTTTGGAGCATTCCCTTGTATCCAGTTCGGGAGTTTGGTGTTCTGCAGTAGCTATGCCTGTGTCTCTGGAAGGGAAGATCTACTAAACGGTGGTTTAACCCTTTTATGCCTGGGGGTGCCGTAACAATGTGTCTTTTTAAAGCGATATCCTGTGTTTGCTTCCAGCACCACCTCCACCAGATACATGACGCTTGGGAGGTATAACTGTTTTAGTGTTTTCTGTCGATACGATTCTATAATTAGGCCCATCATAATTGTCAGCACCAAGCCCAACGGGCTCTTAATCTGGCCCTGCCACCAAATGTATAAATAATTTCCAATTTGTTCATCACACCTCCAACATATTGCAGAATTTGTTTTGAGAACTTTGTCTTTTATTAAGATTTTTTTTTAAACATTGTCCAAGATTTGATTATGTTGTTTGACATTTGATGTAACTTTAATTTTCTTAATTTCACCATGGTGAAGCCATAATACATTCTCCAAGTTTTCAATACCTAATAACTCGGATTCTATAGAGTACCAATCTTCCTGTTTACATAAACCTATCTGAAATTTGTGAACTTGAGTAATCATTGCTACATTTGCATAATTTATTACTTTTGGAATAATCAATCCACCCTGGTTAATACTACTATATAAAATGATTCTAAATATTCTTATTTTTTTCTCAACCCATATAAATTGTTGCATCATTCTTTTAATAATCTCGCTATTTTGAGAGAAATCATGCGTAATAAGTATAGCCATTTGGGAAATATATATGATTTAATGATATTAATCCTAGCCATTCATGATAGAAATAAGTTTTTCCATTCCGTCAGACATTTTTGGTGTTCTTTAACCCCTTTAGGACGGAGTCAATAGTGCACGTTCTGATCAAAACAAAACGTAAACAAAAACTGGAATTTGCGCTATATGTCTGTTCAACCGTAATTCACCTCTTTCATATTATTGCAACCCACACTTATTATATATCATTTTGTTCAAGAGAAACAGGGCTTTAATTTATCATTAACTATTCATATATGGAACATAATTTATTATGAATAAAATTTTAAAAAAGTGAGAAAATAAGATTATTTTTTTTTTAAACTTGTATTTCTGTCTGACATTTTAGCTGTTAATGTCATAATACTGTTAGGTTTTACTGCAAAAAAATGCACATATTTGTAATCAGTGATGTCTCACGAGTACAACAGTACCCCCCATTAACAGGTTTTATGGTGTTTTGGAACGTTACAGGGTCAAATATAGAACGTTCCATTTTCAAATTGAAATTTGCCAGATTAGTAATGTTACCATTGAGATGGTGTGGTAGCCCAAGAATGAGAATTACCCCCATAATGGCATACCATTTGAAAAAGTAGACTACCCAAGGTATTGAAAGTGGGGTATGTTTAGTCTTTTTTAGTAGCCACTTAGTCTCTAATAAAGTTTTGTTTTTTTTATTTTTATTTTTATATTTTTTTTATATATTTTTTAAATATTTTAAAATAATTTTTATAATAGTAATAATTTTTATAGTGGAAGAATGTTAATACTTTTTCATACTTTTTTAAATATATTTTTATATTTATTGTTATTATATAGGTTTAAATATATATTAATTATTATTATTTTTTAAGAGTTTTCCCATATGTATTTTTATATAAAATTTTGGCTTTTTATTATTATTTCTATATTAAGTATATATTCTTTATACTTTTATATAGACTGCATATTGCTCATATATTTTTTATATATTTTTTATATATTCTTCATATGGATTTCTGAAGTATCCTTAATATGAATTTTTATTTTTAATGGATGTATTTTTT